TTTATGCGGCGATTCGTTGTATTGAAGACTCATATCTTTGAACACTATTTCTCCCATTTGTGGCCAATCTTTGGGTGGTTTCCGATCGGGAGTGGACTCGAGCTCTGCCTCGGGTTTAATGACAGTGTATTCGAGCACTCGCTCGACTGCAGTCATATAGGACTCGGTTTCGGCCGATAATCTAACACAACTTTGGTTCAACCAGGTCAATGTTATGGCTTATGTTCAAATGAATCGTAATTAATTAAAACACTAGTATAATTATATGTAATGTAATTTATATAATATATAATATCTTAAATATCTGTTTATTTATTTATACCCGATGTTAACAAAAGTCCTGCATTTCCTACGGGAATATCTTTATAAAAATAAACATAATTAAGTTATATTTAGTTTAAAATTTTTGTAAACATATATTACCATCACTATTGGTCATAATATATGAGATAACAGCACTCAGATATACAATACAAATGGTATCGGTTAGGATTCCTAGTGCTCTGGAAGTGCAGATGAATAGAAAGAAAGTAGAGGTGTTGTCGTTTTGGTGGACTTCAAACTGACGCTCAAACATATGCTGTGCGCCAAACGCACGGATCGATGTCAGCCCACACAGCGTTGTGTTCACGTGAGAGTACACCGGACTNTGTGTTCACGTGAGAGTACACCGGACTCCGGGCTGAGAGGGAGAGAGAGAGAGAGAGAGAGAGAGAGAGAGAGAAAGAGAGAGAGAGAGAGAGAGAGAGAGAGAGAGAATTATATATAATCATAAATACAAAGTGAATGACATACACAACCCCTCCAATCGCTTTATATCTCTCGCGGCTCTGATATAAAAATAGCGACAAATAAACACTAATATTAACAAAAGTATTGCCGGAAATATCAAATACCAACTGACGATTGCATTCAATATAAGATTTCCGATAATAAAACATAAATCCTGTGGGTATTTATTAAAAAGTTATTCAGTATAACTTACTTAAATTAATTAAAATATTTAAATTAATACAGTTATAAATTCAAAGGCAACCGATGGTAACAATTCGTCTACAATTCCCGTGTCCTTTGAAAATCTGTTTAGTATTCGCCCTAAAAATTATTTTTTAATTAATTGATTTAATATATAATTCAAATGATAGCAAATAGTGTTAAGATTGTTACCAATGGGCAAACTCTCGAACAGATGTATCGGTGATCGCAATAACGCACAGAATATTCGGTTATAGAGATTAACCGAAGATCTCATACACATTATGTAGAAACAAATGGTGGACAACAGGGCCGACGCAAACAGACCACAGGTTAGACTCGTGTAGATAATTATGTTGAATGTCTGGTCCACTTGATCGGGGGTTTTACTCAATTGATTAGTACTAATATGGGAGTATGACATGAGCTCGAAAACCAAAATCTCGAAGGACAAGAGCTCAAAATACGTATATCAGCTCAAAAGTGATTAAATTGATTTTACATACTGTTTAATATAATATGTGATTATTACTATAATTACTAAATTTAATAGAGCTATAAATATTCAATTATAAAATTATATTGTTAATAGATAATGAAAAATAATTAAAATATATTATTAATTCTCGCATTAATATCACTTTAGAGAATTAGCTTAGTATAATTTATAATTAACTTATTTTATTTTAATTATGTAATTAAAATTGTTAATAAAATGTGTAATAAAATAATTAATGTAATATTAACTACAGTGCAACTCCTCCATAACATACGGCCAAATGCACACCAAAACCGTTCGTTATAAAGAGAGTTCGCAGTAGAGGGGGTAAAATAGCCCTATTTGTTATACGAGGTTCATGTATCAAGTGTTCGTTGTGGAGGGTGCTTCGCTGTAGAGGGGGTTTGCTATGGAGGGTTGCAATGTATAATAATAATGATAATTTATATTAAACATCTCTTAAACAACATTAATCACTTTTGAGCTAATATATTTCGAGCTCATGTCTACGTCCCCCTAATATAATCTTATATTGAGTTAAAATAAATTAAATGTATTTTTAAATAATAATAGTACTGACCATAACCTCAACCAGTAATCACTTCCCTGATAAAAGACCTGGGAATTTATTATAAACAAAATCGTAAGTGTTATGATCAGAGCAGATGCGCCTGACTTGAAGTAATCCATATAAACAGTGGACTCAACGGATCCAATCATTTTGAGTTCTGCCTTCACTTCCTGTTCGTCCGCTTCTTCTGCTTCCCTAACGTCCGTCACATCCGATCCCTCACTAATGGTTGAGACCATCGATGGTGTGATAGATGTCCTCCTCTTTACAGCTCTGTTATGATTTGTTTCATCGGTTTGTCTCTGATATGCCATGAGATCAATGCCGCGCTCTTTGAGCTGAGTGTAGGACCCGATGGCCACACACTCGCCGTCGTTGAGCACAAGTATTTGATGCGCGTCTTTGAGAAACTGGATGTTATGCGTCACTAAAACAGTCGCCTTGTCTTTCAGGTACTCAATACAACATCTGATGCAATGGTAAACATATGGTAAGCATTTTGTCATTTGGATAATAAAATATACTTTTGGTAGATATGTTTAGCCACACGTGTGTCGACAGCACTCAAGGGGTCGTCCAAGAGGTAGATGTCTGCCGAGTGGTACAGAGCCCGGGCCAGACTCAGCCTAGTTTTCTGTCCGCCACTCAATGCCAGCCCTCTCTCCCCCA